CCGGGGTGCGCGGGACACTGGGCTCGTCGCCTGAGGGCGGATCCAGCCGTGCTGCTCAGCCACCGCTCCCCCCAGCGGGGCTGACAGGACCAGACACTCCAGCAGCGGGGCTGAAGGGACTGGGCACCACCATCTTGTGGGTATGGGCGCTGCCATCTTTGTGATGGAGTGACAGTTAATTTGCATACTACCCCTTTATTAGATAGGGCTAGAGGCCCGGTGCACGAACTTCTGGGGGGAGGGGCCGCGGAACTCCTGGTCGAGGGGACAATTTGCATATTAGCCCTTTATTATATAGGGTTAAACCTTAATTTCCCTATAAAAGCGCTATCTCCAAATATAGTCACAGTGGGGGTTAGGGCTTCAATGTATAAATTTTGGGGAAACACAACATTCAGTCCATAACAGCTGTAAGTGGTGGGGCCAGGATTCACAATTATGACTATGAAGCTTCTACTCTTAATTTCTACACTTACTTGTCTCTTTATAGATGATTTTGGGATGGAAAAAGCTACAGATAAGTGCTGACTGCTGATTGAATGGTTGGAATCCCCTGCTTTGAAATTTCTACATTATGTAAAACCTTTTATATTAATTTATTATCACAACAGATGGCACTTTGTAGTGATAAAGCTCAATTTGTGGACTGGGGCAACAAAGCTTGGAAAATTCTAAGTATGAGAAATGCTGTAGATTAACTAAATTTTTTACCTATCATTCCAATAAAATATTGCAGTTTTAAAAGTCAACTCAATCTAAAATTTTCCCTTGTATAAACTAAATTGGTTATAACACTGTTTTGTGTTTGTCTGTTTAGTGACTTGCCTGGACCAATTCTGTAGAATCTGTTTCCTCAGCAGTGTGCAGCCTCTGATGTCACTGCTTAGTTATTGTTTTTAAGCCATGCTTTCTAGGGGTTGCCACCCCACTCCCCCATCAGAATAAATTAGTGGTCAGCCAATGACTGGTGAGAAGTTTTGCCTAAATACCTGGAACTCAGTAGGCTTCCATCCTTTGTCATAGGATGTGTGTTTTGGGGGAATCTTGTAAAAGTGCAGGGAGCTTATCAGTTTAACCTGTGTTCAGCAAGAATTAGCTTCCTCCAAAGGTCCTCTTAGATTTTCCTGAACAGGTGTGGCTTTATATATGCACACAGCCTTCAGGACCATAAGGGCTATCTCTTTCCTAGATAACCCTAATAAATTTCTGGCTAGTCTGCCATTTTGTTGCTTCCTATAATATTAGCTTTCCTGGATTGTTTGCCAGAGACCTCTATTATTATTGAGAACATCCCTCCAAGCTGCTCTAAACAAAGTCAGCTCCCTCTGATAGGAGGATAAGAGCTGCCAGCCCTCATGCCTTGCCCTGCCTGCCAAAGGTAGAACTTGAAGGACCATAGAGCTGAGGGAAAAGATGGGAGCAGCTCCTGACTAAATTGCCAGGCTATACTGACCGGTTTGGCTCAGTGGATAGAGCGTTGGCCTGCGGACTCAAGGGTCCCGGGTTCGATTCCAGTCAAGGGCATGTACCTTGGTTGTGGGCACATCCCCACTGGGGAGTGTGCAGGAGGCAGCTGATCGATGTTTCTCTCTCATCAATGTTTCTAACTCTCTATCCCTCTCCCTTCCTCTCTGTAAAAAATCAATAAAATATATTTTTTAAAAATAAAATAAAATAAATTGCCAGACTATTACTGTTGTTAGTGAAATTCAGGTAGCTTTGTTTAAATAAATGCCTCTCAATTTGTGCCCTTTGGTTAATGTCGAGACATTAAATGGTTTTGTTTGTTTTTTTAAACAATTTTGCCGAACCGGTTTGGCTCAGTGGATAGAGCGTCGGCCTGCGGACTGAAGGGTCCCAGGTTCGATTCCGGTCAGGGGCATGTATCTTGGTTGTGGGCACATCCCCACTGGGGGGCGTGCAGGAGGCAGCTGATCGATCTCTCTCATCCATGTTTCTGGCTCTCTATCCCTCTCCCTTCTCTGTAAAAAATCAATAAAATATATTTAAAAAAAAAACAACAACAAAAAAAAACAACAATTTTGTCCAGTGTTTGGGGAGAGGATTTGCCAAGCTTCTCAGTGTTGCTGCTACATTTTACTATGAACTCTTTTTTTCTTCCTCATAATGTGCTAAAGATCAAGAACAAATATTAAAGAGAACCATTTACTGGACTCTGAAGTAGCCCACTGAGCAGATTAGGGTAATCAAATGAAATTTTAGAACCACTGATGGAAAAACTTACCTAAAACCAGGACCAGAATTTGTGTCTCAACATCTTTAGGATTCCTCAATATTATTTGAACCTGAGACTTTTTATACTTACCCTTTTTATTTATTTATTTTTTAAATATATCTTATTGATTCTTTTACAGAGAGGAAGGGAGAGGGATAGAGTTTAGAAACATCAATGAGAGAGAAACATTGATCAGCTGCCTCCTGCATAGCCCCCACTGGGGATGTGCCTGCAACCAAGGTACATGCCCTTGATTGGAATCGAACCTGGGACCCTTCAGTCTGCAGGCCAACACTCTATCCACTGAGCCAAACCGGTCAGGGCAATATACTTACTCTTTTTAAAAAATACATATTTTTATTGACTTCAGAGAGGAAGAGAGAGGGATAAAAAGATAGAAACATCAATGATGAGAGAGAATGATTGATCGGCTGCCTCCTGCACACCCCCTACTGGGGATCAAGCCCGCAACCCAGGCATGTGCCCTTGACTGGAATCGAACCTGGGCCCCTTCAGTCTGCAAGCCGATGCTCTATCCTCTGAGCCAAACCGGCTAGGGCTATACTTACTCTTAAAGATGGGGTAAAATAGATCCCCAGGCACAGGCAAGATTAGGGGTCTATAAAGGGACCACACTCAGTAAAGCCTGAAGTCTCCCTACCTGGGCTCGCTCCTCATCAAATTCCAGGCAGCCCATACCATCCAGTCTCTGGAGATCAATCCAGCCTTTCCAGATAACACAGACTCCATTCAGAATCATTGGAGCCTTCAAATAGACCTAAGACACAGAAAAAAAGGGTGAAAACCAATCAGACACATGAAAAACAAAGATCAAAGTTACTTATGAAAACTGTGGTTTTCTTAGGAAATAAAAAAATAAATACAATCATAAAATCAAGAATTATAAGTACTAGTATATAAACTACAGCCTCTGACTATATTCTATACATTAAGTTAATCTGGTTTACCAGAATTTTATTTCTAGTTACAATTCTTCCAGATTATTTTTAAAAGAAAGTTTTTCAGATTTTGTAAAAACTATAGTAAGATGGTATTTGAAGTAGACATCATAGCTCCTCCAGCTGTAGCTAGGACAATCAAGTACTTTGCCTTGGTTTTTGAATCTTTTTTTTTAAAATATATTTTTATTGATTTCAGAAAGGAAGGGAAAAGGAGAGAGAGATAGAAACATCAATGATGAGAGAGAATCACTGACCGGCTGCCTTCTGCATGCCCCCTACTGGGGACCAAGCCCACAACCTGGGCATGTGCCATTGACTGGAATCAAACCTGGGACCCTTCAGTCCGCAGGCCAACACTCTATTCACTGAGCAACACCAGCCAGGGCCTGGTTTTTGAATCTTGAGTAGAAAGACATACAGACGGAAAACAACTGGAATTCATTAGCCCCTGAAAAGTGTGCACTGCTTCCCTTCTTTTTGGGTCCCTGGAGCTCTCCAGTGTCAGGCTCTTTTACACTTTTCTTCAGCTTTATAAGCAACCTAATAGCTATCTGATAAGTAATGCTGCTTTTTAAATTGAATTTATTGGGGTGACACTGATTAATAAAATTATATACGTTTCAGGTGTACAATTCTATATCACCTCTATGTTGTATTGTGTGTTCACTCCCCACATCAAGTAGGTAATGCTGCCTTTTTTATTTTATTTTTTTAATATTTCTATTGATTTAGGAGAGGAAGAGAGAGGGAGAGATAGAAACATCAATGATGAGAATCATTGACTGGCTGCCTCCTGCACGCCCCCTACTGGGGATCTAGCCTGTAACCCTGGGCATGTGCCCTGATGGGGAGTTGAACCAAGACGTTCTGAGACATGCTGGCAGGTGCCCAAATAGCCTATCTAATAAAGCGATAATATGCAAATTGACCATCACGCCAACACACAAGATGGCCACCCCCATGTGGTCAAAGATGGCCGCCACAAGATGGCCGGCAGGGGAGGGCAGTTGGGAGGGACCTGGCCTGAAAGGGAGGGCAGTTGGAGGCGATCAGGCCTGCAGGCAAGGGCAGTTAGGGGTGACCGGGCCTGCAGGGGAGGCTAGTTAGGGGCAATCGGGCCGGCAGGGGAGCAGTTAGGTGTCGATCATGCTGGCAGAGGAGTGGGTTAGGGGTGATCAGGCAGGCAGGCAGGCAAGCGGTTGGGAGCCAGCAGTCCTGGATTGTGAGAGGGGTCCCAGATTGAGGGTGCCGGCTGGGCTGAGGGACCCCCCCCCCGCCCCCTGTGCACAAATTTCGTGCACTGGGCCTCTAGTATCTTTATAAATAAGGTTCTTTACTCGCCTATACCGAATGTTTTCTATGAATAATCTCAGAGCATTAAAATTTGCATTATTTATTACCTATAATTATATAAAATCAGTAAGACAGCTCGTTTTGAGGAGAAACCTAGAAACATTAACTTTTCCTTTACTCAACTTAGCAGTTTCTTCAACAAAGAATCTTGGGGAATTCTTGTTTTTAAAGAGACTTAGTAAGAATAAATGACCGTCAGTGATTATAAATATGCTAGGAAAAATTACAAGACACCTGTAAAACAAAAGCTATAGGATTTATAACTTTTTAAAAATATATATATATTTTATTGATTTTTTACAGAGAGGAAGGGAGAGGGACAGAGAGCTAGAAACATCAATGAGAGAGAAACATCAGCTGCCTCCTGCACACCCCCTACTAGGATGCGCCCACAACCAAGGTACATGCCCTTGACCAGAATCGAACCTGGGACCCCTCAGTCTGCAGGCCAATGCTCTATCCACTGAGCCAAACTGGTCAGGGCAGATTTATACCTTTTTAATACATATTCATGTCATTCGCCTCCACTACTAAACACAACCATCTTTCTTGTTAAGGACTCCAATCAACCCTGCTGAACCAATTTCTACTTATACTGGAAAAAGCTAAAAACATAAAGATCCATTTCTCCTCCCATTTGGACCAAGGGAAATAGTCTACAGTTATAGCTGAAACCGTTTAACCACACATTTCCTTCTGTTCTGATAAGTGTTCATTCCCTTCCACATTGTAAATTCAAAACTCCACATATATACCTAAGTCTAACAAGTGACTCTGACCTCATATTTGACACCTCACAAAACCTAAAAAACAATACCCTTCTATACTGCCTATTAATATTAACTTGACTTACTATTTCTTCTAATCAAGATTTCCACCTACTCTTTCTAATGGAGGTTGAAGGGAGTGCCACACCAGGGAGGAGTATAACATTTCACCTCTCAATGTGCCTCAATATTTTAACTTCTTATACTAATTATAAAGAGAATTCTTCTAATGGCAGAGAAAGGTCAACTTCATAATCAGATTCTACATTCACCAATGAGTTTATATCTTTTAGAATCAAAGATTCCATAAATGTAGCTTATTCATATTAACTTCCACAGCCAAAATATTTTCCTTAAAAAAATTACTAAAAATTTTTAAAGGCCATTTATTACTCCTTTTTTTTTTTTTGGTTGTGAAATTATCTTTAATTGAAATATTTTCTTTTGTAGTTCTTAACTAGCTAGGCATTTCACTGCACCACTGTTGATGTCATCTATGATGTCATGAGGGTGGCAGCCATCAACAATGTAGCCCACAGTCTGGGTAGTCCCTAGGATCGCATTAATGGTTCCAGAGTTCTCTAGCCAAATATTGGTGTTGCATCTGTCGGGCAATGGTGGCAAATCTCAGCAAGAGTGGTATTTCCACTGTGCTTATGTTTTTTGCTTTTCTCTGTCTCTTGGCGTACTACCTCCATCTGGGCCTTTCTGTTCTGGTCAGTTTCACTGTAATCCTCAGACCCTTCCAATCACCAGTTGCTTTGGCAATTTCATCAACAACCTTTTTTGGAGACAGACCCAGGGGGCCAGGGCAGATGTAGCACTGACTTCCCCATAGTTGCACCTCAGATACACAACTTTAATGTCCTTGGGGTCAAACTTCAGCTGGTGTTGGATGAATCAGGTTTTGGGACGACCGAAGAAAAAGTTGCACCTAAGCCTCCTCCAAGCCAAAAGCTGAAGGCTGTTACTTTTTTATAAAAATTCTCTCATGACAAAGAAAACCACTGGTGTGTTTTGGGAAATTCTTAAATGGGTTCAGAAAATGGCTATAGTTCTTCATCAAGGCTAATGCAATGATTGAAATTATAATTTTAAATGATATTTAGATGATTCTGGTGATTTATTTAATGTTCACATTCAAATAGTTTTATGTGTAGATCTTCAAAGTAAATGTTTGCCACTTTCATACATTCATGAATACCAAACCTCAAAGTACAAAGAAAATAAAATTTTGTCTCTTACCAGTTTGGCATTTTGTAATATAATTCAATAATGCCATTTAAACACTAAGACATTTTTCACTGAAAATAATGATGCCCTATTTCAAACTATGAAAAGAAAATTTATTAAAATATGACTTAGGGATTAAACCCATTGTTCTAAGAACAATTAAGTATTTTATACAAAATGCATTCTATAGTCCTAGCTAGTTTGGCTCAGTGGATAGAGTGCTGACCTGCAGACTGAAGGGTCCCTGGTACGATTCCAGTCAAGGGCACATACTTGGGTTGCAGGCTCCTCTCCGGCCCGAGCCCTGGTTTAGGCTTGTATAAGAGGCAACCAATCAATGTGTTTCTTTCACATCGATATTTCTGTCTTTCCCTCTCTCTTCCACTTTCTCTAAAAAAAATCAATGATAAAATATCCTAGGGTAAGGATTGGAAAAAAAAGATTCTAAAGCCTTTAAAATGGGTAAACAGATTAAACTAAGTATACACAAAAACAACAAAAAGGCCCGCTTATCTTTCCAAAAGTAAAATATCAGAGGATGTTTGAGACTTCACAGAAAGTTAGAAGTGACTATAGCCTCACATTTGTATTCTTTCAGAAATAAGGTAAAAGTTAGTATAAACAATTTTTAATAAACCCAAGCTCTAAATATCAGTATTTGTGATGTTATAGTCAATCTAAATCACACATGATATCACTTAATATTCAAAATCTGTAGCTTTAAATTCCCTATCACTGTAGCAGTAGAGCTTCAGAAAAACATGTATGCACCATCAACTGTGGCATTAGCCATATAATGAAATATTTGGCGATAAAAAGAAATGAAGTATTCATACATGCTACAACATGGATGAACCTTGAAAACATTATGCTAAGAAACGAGAAAAAGGCCATATGTTTTATGATTCCATTTATATAAAATGTCCAGAACAGGCAAATAGAGAGAGAAAGGAGATTAGTGGTTGCCAGGGGCTCAGGAGCAGGAAAAATGAGTGACTGCTAGCAGGTACTGGATTTCTTTTGGGGTGATGAAAATGTTTTGAAATTAGAGTGGTGATGGTCACACAACTCTGAATATACTAAAACCCCCGGAATTGTAGACTCTAAAGGGGTAAATTTTGTGTATGTAAATTTTATCTCAATAAAACTATTATTAAAAATTTTGCAATAGTTTTTATCTGTTACATAAGTAACACATGAGATATGTAAATGAAGATTTTTGAGTAGGCAGTTGCAAATGGGATTCTAGCACTCTGAGAAAAGATACGGGCTGATGATGTTAAGTCTGGCAACCATCAACAATACAGTGCCATTTAACTCTAGAACAGTGGTTCTCAACCTTCCTAATTCCACGACCCTTTAATACAGTTCCTCATGTTGTGGTGACCCCCAATTTCATTGTTACAAATTGAACATAATTAAAGCATAGTGATTAATCACAAAAACAATATGTAATTATATAT